TTTTTTTCCTTTCCTAGCCAATCAACCAGCTACCACATTTATACCTGGCTTCTCCAATCAAGCCCAGAGCAAACGGGAAGAGCAGTGAGGGTGGAGGTTGTAGCAGAGGAGGAGGAGGAGGAGGGCGAGGAGGCTGAAGTGGAGGCAGAGGAGGAGACTGAAGCCGAGGTGGCGGAGGCTAAGCCAGAGGTGGAGGCCAAGGCAGCAACGGAGGCAGAGGCGAGCAGGTATGGGGCACATTAATGTGTTCCATGGGAGGGTAAGTCCTATCTGTCTACCCTGGGTTAAATGAGTGACATTCAGACACAGGACAACCCTGCTGTAAATAGATGGATGCGTGAGACTGGTGTTTATTGTATTGTTTTAGACTTCACAGTAGAAGTTAGACCACTGCAATTTAGTATCAAGTTTCCAAAATGTATGTAATGTATGTCCAGTAGCAGTCCCCACATCAGGGCAGGAAATAATCGACATCCATCACCTTCCATTTTACCCCTAGAAACGTGCAATAAAAAGACAACACAAATGGTGGTAAGATGGTCTCCGATGTTTTGGAATTATAGAATCTAAAGTAGCTACAGCATAAAGTAAAATTAGCAGGGGAACCTGATTTGATAGAAAACCAAAAAGGGCCTGTAGACCCAGGGACATAAGAGCGTGAGTGAATTTACTGTTTTTGCATGCTGAGGAACTCAACTGTATTTATCCCCACAACATGGAATGGTGTGACAGCCTGCCCTTGAATTTTTGCTATTCCTCCTGGTCACTCTTATTTATGTTTTGAGGTTGCCACAGGACATGTGTGAGAAGAGGAAAAGTGTGAAATCTCCCCCGTGGGGATGGCCACATCACACTCCCTTCTCCTCTCTTCTCCTCCTGGGATTTTGGGCATACACACACATGCCATGCTATGTTTTTCTTTTCTTCTTTTCACATTATTATTTGTCTTACAAAATGGATATTTAAACAGGTATTGATAAAACTACAAAATACCTTCAACATAATAGCACACCTCTTTGGGTCACTAAGACTGGGACTCGAACCATTGTCAGTCATGTGTGAGTCCTACACCTTAACTACCACACCACCCTACTCATTTCCCTCCCCTTACCAGTATGCTCACCCCGCATACTGGTACCTCTTAAAACTGAAAAGTTGGACCATTACTCTGGTGGGTGGGACTCATGCATCAACCAGTAGGGCGGAGTCTGCACATGTCATAATAGGCATTCAGTCACAGGGTGATGCAAGGGGGGGTGCTGTGACATAAATACTGGAAGAGCTCTGGGCACTTGTCCAGTTACTCACTTGACTCCTGGAGAGTGGATGAGTAACTAGGAGTGTTGTCAAAAAAGAAAATGACCAAAACGCTTCCCCTAATTGCCCCTTCTAAGCCCCAGCCTCTGCCCCATCCTCCTCCTTCCCGCTTTCTTCCTTCCTGCCCTGCTCCTGCAAGCCACCCTCCTGCCATCTCTCCTAAGGCCATTAGCTCTCAGCAGATTCTCCAGCGAGATGCCTCCATTTTATTTTCCCACCCTACTCATTTCCCTCCCTTGACTAAAACCAGTTCCTGCAACTGCTCTCCTGTGTGGGTCTCCAAGTCCAGCTCTTTGCCCTACAGGCCATCCACTAGCCGCCGCCCTGTCCGTCTGGGTTCCCTTTTCAATAACTCCAACTTCTTTCTCCCTACTCCTCCTCCTAGCCCCCCTTCCTAATCCCCTTTACTTCCCTCCAACATCCAGCCACACCCACTGGCCAGACATGATGCTCTACAGCTTTTATACTGGAGAGACCGTTTTCCTTCTAGTGCCTGTTCTGGTGCAGGTCAGAATTGCTGGGTCTGTATTTCCTAGCAGCACTGCCAACTGAACATTGAGAATGTGACAGGATGGTGGACACCATGCAGCCCGGAGTGTCACCATCTATAGTTACAGGTCCTTTTTTTCTGACCAGATCCTGGGTATCTCACAGCTATGTGCTATTACCTCCAGCCCCATCTTTTAGGCCTCTTCAGGTGCCAGGGATACCTTAACAGTTTCATTATTCTAGACCATCTTTTCCTCTCCTAGCTGATCAACTGGTCTGCATGAGCTGCCACAGCTGTACCTGGCTTCTCCAGGGAATCCCACTGCAAACTGGAAGAGCATTGAGGATAGAGGCGGAGACGGAGGCGGAGTCTGAGGCAGAGGCGGAGTCGAAGGCAGAGGCGGAGTCTGAGGTGGAGGTGGAGGCGGAGTCTGAGGCGGAGGCGGAGTTGGAGGCGGAGTCGGATGTAGAGGCGGAGTCGGAGGCGGAGTCGGAGGCGCAGTCGGAGTGGGAGTCGGAGTCGGAAGCGCAGTAGGAGGCCGAGGCGGAGTCGGAGTCGGAGGTGGAGTCGGAGGCACAGTAGGAGGCGGAGTCGGAGGCGGAGGCGGAGTCGGAGACACAGGAGTCAGAGTCCGAGGCGGAGGCGGAGGCGGAGTCGCAGGCACAGTAGGAGGCGGAGGCGGAGGCGGAGGCAGAGATGGAGATGGAGGTGGAGGCGGAGTCTGAAGCAGAGGGAGAGACAGAAGCGGAGGCGAGGCTGAGGTGGAGTCTGAGGTGGAGGCCAACAAATGTGGGGCACCTTAGTGTGTTCCCCAGGTGGGTAAATTCTCTCTGCCAACATTCGATTGAATGAGTGTAATTTAGATCAGGGCTCAGGGCTGGTGTTTCCTCTTCTCATCCCCATCTTGTCAGTCCTCTTCAGGTGACAGAGATACCTTAAAAATTTGATTTTTCTAGACCTTTTGTTATTTCATCTCCTCTCCATCAACCAGCCTGTGTGAGCTGCCATGTGTGTACCTCACTTTTAAGGCAAACCCACACTTAGCTGCAAGAGCAGTGAGGGTGGAGCAGAAGTGGAGGCAGAGGCAGAGGTAGAGGCTGGAGCAGACATGGAGGCAGAGGCAGAGGTGGAGAAGGAGGCAGAGAAGAGCACGGGTGGGGCACATAGTTGGTTCTCCAGGAGAGCTAATCCTGTTTATCTGCCTTGGATTAAATGAGTGCAATTTAGATGGGGCTCAGGGCTAGTGTTTCTTCCCTTTGTCCCCGTCTTGTCAGTCCTCTTCTGGTGTGGAGGTGGAGGCAGAGGCAGAGGCAGCAGCAGAGGTGGAGGCTGAGGTGGAGGCAGAGGCAGAAGTGGAGGCCAGCAGGAGTGGGGCTGGTAGTTGGTTCTCCAGGAGGGTAAGTCCTGCTTATCTGCCTTGGATGAGATGAGTGCAATTTAGATGGGGCTCAGGGCTGGTGTTTCTTCCCTTTGTCCACCACCTTGTCAGTCCTCTTCTGGTGCCATGGATACCTTAAAAATTTCAGCTTTCTAGACCAGCTGTTTTTTTCTTTCCTAACAGATCAACCATCCTGTGTGAGCTGCCATGTTTGCACCAGGCTTCTCCAGGAATCCCCGAGCAAGGCACAAGAGCAGTGAGGGCGGAGGCAGATGTGGAGGCTGAGGCAGAGACCGAGGCAGAGGCTGTGGCAGATGTGGAGGCTGAATCGGAGGCAGATGTGGAGGCTGAGTCAGAGGCAGAAGTGGAGGCTGAGTCAGAGGCAGAAGTGGAGGCTGAGTCAGAGGCAGAAGTGGAGGCCGAGACAGAGGCAGAAGTGGAGGCGAGCCAGAGTGGGGCGAATTAGTTGGTTCTCCAGCAGGGTAAGTCCTTTTATCTGTCCTGGGTTAAGCGCAATTTAGATGGGGACTCAGGGCTAGTGTTTCCTCCCTTTATCCCCATCTTGTTAGTCTTCTTCAGGTTCAGTGGATACATTAAAAATTTCAGTTTTCTAGACCAACTGTTTTTTTCTGTCTTAACAGATCCACCATCCTGCGTGAGCTGCCATGTTTGCACCTGGTTTCTTCAGGCAACCCCAGAGCAAGATACAAGAGTAGTGAGGGTGGAAGTAGAGGCTGAGAGGAAGGCGGGGGTGGAGGCTGAGACAGAGGTGGAGTTGGAGGCTGAGGCCAAGTCAGAGGCAGAGGTGGAGGTGAGCAGATGTGGGGCACATTAGTTTGTTCCCCAGGGGGTAAGTCCTTTCTACCTACCTCAGGTTCAATGAGTGTATTTAAACACAAGGCAGCGCTGCCTTAATAGACGGGAGCTCAGGGCTGGTGCTTCCTCCCCTCATCCCCATCTTACTCCTCTTCAGATGCCAGGGATCCCTAAAAATTTGATTTTTCTAAACCATCAGTTTTTTTCTATCCTAGCTGATTAACCCGCCTGCGTGAGCTGCCACATTTGTACCTGGTTCTACAGGAACCCCAGAGAAAGCTGCAAGAGCAGTTTGTGTAGAGGTGGAGGTGGGTGCTGAGGCGACGGTGGAGGCAGAGGCAGCACTGCAGCAGAGTTGGAGGCTGCAGCAGAGGTGGAGGCTGAGGCTGGGTAGGAGGCTAAAGCCATGGCAGAGGCAAAAGTGGAGGTGAGCAGGAGTAGGGCACATAGTTGTTTCTCCAGGAGGGTAAATCCTGTTTATTTGCCTTGGATTAAATGAGTGTGTTTTAGGTGGGGCTCAGGGCTGGTGTTTCCTCCCTTGTCTCCATTTTGTCAGTCCTCTTCTGGTACCATGTATACCTTAAAAATTTCAATTCTAGACCAGCTGTTTTTTCCTCTCCCAGTAGATCAACCAGCCTGCGTGAGCTGCCACGTGTGTACCTGGCTTCTCCAGGCAAACTCAGAGCAAGAAACAAGAGTAGTGAGGGCAGAGGCAGAGGTTGAGGCGAGGCAGAGGCCATGTAGGCAGAGGCAGAGGTGGAGAAGGAGGCAGAACCAACTATGTGCACGGGTGGGGCACATAGTTGGTTCTCCAGGAGAGCTAATCCTGTTTATCTGCCTTGGATTAAATGAGTGCAATTTAGATGGGCAGAGGCAGAGGCAGCAGCAGAGGTGGAGGCTGAGGTGGAGGCAGAGGCAGAAGTGGAGGCCAGCAGGAGTGGGGCTGGTAGTTGGTTCTCCAGGAGGGTAAGTCCTGCTTATCTGCCTTGGATGAGATGAGTGCAATTTAGATGGGGCTCAGGGCTGGTGTTTCTTCCCTTTGTCCACCACCTTGTCAGTCCTCTTCTGGTGCCATGGATACCTTAAAAATTTCAGCTTTCTAGACCAGCTGTTTTTTTCTTTCCTAACAGATCAACCATCCTGTGTGAGCTGCCATGTTTGCACCAGGCTTCTCCAGGAATCCCCGAGCAAGGCACAAGAGCAGTGAGGGCGGAGGCAGATGTGGAGGCTGAGGCAGAGACCGAGGCAGAGGCTGTGGCAGATGTGGAGGCTGAATCGGAGGCAGATGTGGAGGCTGAGTCAGAGGCAGAAGTGGAGGGTGAGTCAGAGACAGAAGTGGAGGCGAGCCAGAGTGGGGCGAACTAGTTGGTTCTCCAGCAGGGTAAGTCCTTTTATCTGTCCTGGGTTAAGCGCAATTTAGATGGGGACTCAGGGCTAGTGTTTCCTCCCTTTATCCCCATCTTGTTAGTCTTCTTCAGGTTCAGTGGATACATTAAAAATTTCAGTTTTCTAGACCTAGACCAACTGTTTTTTTCTGCATTAACAGATCAACCATCCTGCGTGAGCTGCCATGTTTGCACCTGGTTTCTTCAGGCAACCCCAGAGCAAGATACAAGAGTAGTGAGGGTGGAAGTAGAGGCTGAGAGGAAGGCGGGGGTGGAGGCTGAGACAGAGGTGGAGTTGGAGGCTGAGGCCAAGTCAGAGGCAGAGGTGGAGGTGAGCAGATGTGGGGCACATTAGTTTGTTCCCCAGGGGGTAAGTCCTTTCTACCTACCTCAGGTTCAATGAGTGTATTTAAACACAAGGCAGCGCTGCCTTAATAGACGGGAGCTCAGGGCTGGTGCTTCCTCCCCTCATCCCCATCTTACTCCTCTTCAGATGTCAGGGATCCCTAAAAATTTGATTTTTCTAAACCATCAGTTTTTTTCTATCCTAGCTGATTAACCAGCCTGCGTGAGCTGCCACATTTGTACCTGGTTCTACAGGAACCCCAGAGAAAGCTGCAAGAGCAGTTTGTGTAGAGGTGGAGGTGGGTGCTGAGGCGACGGTGGAGGCAGAGGCAGCACTGCAGCAGAGTTGGAGGCTGCAGCAGAGGTGGAGGCTGAGGCTGGGTAGGAGGCTAAAGCCATGGCAGAGGCAAAAGTGGAGGTGAGCAGGAGTAGGGCACATAGTTGTTTCTCCAGGAGGGTAAATCCTGTTTATTTGCCTTGGATTAAATGAGTGTGTTTTAGGTGGGGCTCAGGGCTGGTGTTTCCTCCCTTGTCTCCATTTTGTCAGTCCTCTTCTGGTACCATGTATACCTTAAAAATTTCAATTCTAGACCAGCTGTTTTTTCCTCTCCCAGTAGATCAACCAGCCTGCGTGAGCTGCCACGTGTGTACCTGGCTTCTCCAGGCAAACTCAGAGCAAGAAACAAGAGTAGTGAGGGCAGAGGCAGAGGTTGAGGCGAGGCAGAGGCAGAGGCTGAGGTGGAAGCAGAGGCTGAGGCCAAGACAGAGGCTGAAGTGGAGGCCAGTAGGAGCAGGGCCCATTAGTTCTCCAGGAGGGTAAGTCCTGCTTATCTGTCCTGTGTTAAATGAGTAAACTTTACATGGGATGCTCAAGCTAGCGTTTCATCCCATTAGCCCTATCTTGTTAATCCTCTTCAGGTATCAGGTATACCTTAAAAATATGCAGAGGTGGAGGCTGAGGCTGGGTAGGAGGTTAAAGCCATGGCAGAGGTAAAAGTGGAGGTGAGCAGGAGTAGGGCACACAGTTGGTTCTCCAGGAGGGTAAATCCTGTTTATTAGCCTTGGATTAAATGAGTGTGTTTTAGGTGGGGCTCAGGGCTGGTGTTTCCTCCCTTGTCTCAAT